CATGCATAGGTCTGCAGGTAAAAAGGCGCATTGTGACGGAGAGGGCGACAGGGTGGAGACCGGGAATGAAGGGAAGAGCGAAAGGACGAGATAGGCTGCGGAAAGAGGGAGAGAGAGAGAGAGAGAGAGAGAGAGAGAGAGAGAAAGAGATATAGAGAGAGAGAGAGAAAAAAAAAGAGAGAGAGGGAGAGAGAGAGAGAGAGAGAGAGAGAGAGAGAGAGAGAGAGAGAGAGAGAGAGAGAGAGAAAGAGACCGGACAAGTAGGCGGACCAGGGTCCGTCCGCGAGGCGCACTGCGGTGCGACAACCCGCCAAACACTATTTGCGGCGGTGCAGCCTTGAGATACGAGGGCGGGCAACAAACCCCCTCCCCCGGCGCAATGCGACTGGCGCTACAGACGGCGGACAGACAGTGAAGATCTCACGTGTCAGACCGCGTGACGAAGAAGGCCCCAACAAGAAAGGCGACGTGCTGACACGTGGCTAGGCGGCTTGGCAGACCGCCAGTTGGGCGCTTGGCCGCAACGCGGCGCGCAGGGACGGGGCACCCCCCGCCCCCACGCCCTGACACCGTGGACGCGGGGCCACGCGTGCACACGGGCAGGCAGAATGGCGGAGATTAGCGCGGGGCTCCAGGCGGAGCGCCGCGGAGCGATGACAGCATAGCATGGAGGGTGAGTGGCGGCGCAGCACCATCGGGCGAGGGCGTAAGCAGCTCGGCGAAGGCACGCCCGGCGCGGTGGAGGCGCTGGAGCAGAGGGCCTTGACGGGCTTGAGCAGCGGCAAGGTCGGCGGCGAGAGCAGCACACCTCTGCTGAAGAGCGGCCATAGACTGGGACAGCTCGGCTTCGCGGTCGGTGAGGGGCGGCTGCTCTGTGCCTGCGGCCGCGGGCCTCGTGGCGGGGACGAGGTCATCGGTGCGCCTGGCCAGGTGGTGGACCAGCGCGGTGCGGCGATCCGTGTGCTGGCGGCCGTCGCCCTTGTGAGGCGACTGGAGGGTAACGCGCGGTCCCAGGGCTGAAGCCGCTAGGGCCACGCCCCGTGAGGACGGAGGAGCCGCAGCCTCGCACCCAGCAGCAGTAAAAGCGTGGACGGGGTGCGACGGCCTGACTGGCTCAGTGCCCTGCGGGGGGGCTGGAGCCGCCCCCGCGGGCTGGCGCTGGTGGGGGGACGGGGTGGGTGGCACGGGGGGACCAATCATGATGCCGTGCGAGGGCTCGGAGGTCGGCCGCGTGGTCGGGTGGCGTCTCGATGAAGCGGCATCGTCGGCAGCGTGGGGTGTCGGCGGGGCGTCGTCTATGCTGCCACTCAATCCGAGGGGATCATAAAGGTCCTCGTCGGCGTCTTGACGGTGAGCGACGTCATCATGTGGGTGCGATGTCGCTCTCGGTGGCGGAGTCGAGGTGGGCGTCGAGAGGCTGCCCGACGGGGCAGGGTTGGCGCTGGCTGGCCCGTCGTCCAGGAAGTCTAATCCCCCGCCGAAGCCGAACGGGTCGTCCTCCTGTTCGTCGTGCATCGCCCGTTGGGCCTCGGCCCAGAGCTCATCCGGGTTCTGCGGGATGTATGGTCCAGCCGCGGGTGGTGCCTGGTCCGACAGCAGGGGGTTCGGTTCCATTTTGCTGAGTTCCGCTGCTGTAAACCCAGCCCTGCGGTGTGGGAGCGGCAGAGTACGGTGTCTGCGCTCGTAGATAGCGACAGCGACCCCATGAAGCACGGTCGCTTGGCGATGTCGTGTTTTGGCAGCTTCAACAATGTCGTCGGGGAGGTTGTGCGTGCGTGCCGCCGCTGTGGCAAGGGCGTCGGCCTGACGGTTGAACTCCTCCGCGATGGGCCCGATGAGCCCAAGGTCGATGCCCAGGTCTCCCAGGTGGCTGGCGATTTTTTCGACGCGAAACATGTTGGGCTTGGCCATAACACATCGGTGGATCTTTTCCCAGAGCTCCGCGTGCGTGCCCTGCGGCGCTGGATGTCCGTCGATGATGCTTTGGAACCCATCGACCACCGCCTGGTTGTCCACGAAAACGTGCACGGGCCGTTCGGCACATGCCGTAAGGTGGACAATGGCGAGGGTCTCCGCAACCTGGGCGTTCTGCGTTAGGCCGTGAACGCGTGCACTGTAGTTCATGCGGTGATCGATGCCGTAGTAGACGCCGTAACCCGCTCGTGCTAGCAATGGGATGGCTTGGTTGGTGCACGCACCGTCCGTGGCAGCATAGACCCATGTCCAACCAGTGTCGTAGTCAAGGTAGGTGGTGTAGGTGTCCTGGGCTGAAGCCGCAGGATCACCATCAGGGGAGGGCCGCGGAATGGGCTGTGGCAGCGGGTCCCTCGCGAGGTCGGCCTGCAGGTCGAGGAGGGCTGGGTCTTCGTCGAAGAGCCCGCAGTGTCTTGTGTGCGGCGGAAGACGGGCCCACTGGTCGTCACTGATGAGGGTGGTGAGAGGGAGTCTTTCTCGGGCCCAGCACTTACAGTCGCGGACAGTGTGCTCCTGAGTTTCCTCT